CTCTCCCGCCTGATCATGCAGCGGGATCCGGAGGCGCTTCGGCTTCAGGAGAAAATCCTCCAGGTACCAGGCTCTCGCCGCAGTCCCTGTCCTGCGCCGCGGCACAGAGCTGGGGCTGAGCCCCTTGCTGTCGCCAGCGGCGGAGGGCGCCGGGCAAGAGGGACCAGGGCTGCCACTGTGCGCTGCCAGCCCGGCACGGGGCTGCTGCCGACGGCGCTCCCCCCTCCTCACAGGTGTTCCTGGAGAACGTGCAGCATGAGGATGCCTTCGTCTATCTCTCGGCCATCCAAGGTGAGCGATGCCCGGCCGGGGCAAGTGCCGGCGCTTCGTAGGAGAATGTTTTTGTGCTGAGGGGGCTTTGGGCAGCGAGGGTGAAGAGCAGCGGAGCTGCAGCCAGGCTGGGGACTCAGCATCTTCTGCCCTCCTGGACCATGTCTTCATGCCGTTCGGTCGAGCCTGGAGCCGCGTGCAGGCTCTGCGCCGCGTTCCCAAAGCCGGCGGGCTTCATCTCCCAGTTGTGCTTACTCAGTGGGTAATTAGTTCATTTACCCTCTGACCTGCTGATCTGCACAGACCACAAGTGCCTCCTTGGTGGAGCCCTGGGCAGGTTCACCCTCGGGGCATCCCCTGGCTGGATGACACCCGGGAACGGGTCACCGTCCCCGTGCCAGGTCTGTGCCGCCGGCTTGGGGCTGCAGTTTCAGCGCAGTGTGGACACAGCCCCAGCACCCCGGCCCTCCACCCGGCTGACATTTTGGCTCGCCGGTCTGTTCGGCTGAGGCTGGCAGAGGAGCCGGGGCCATAGGGACCCACCGGTGCTCCCTTGGGGCACCGCCACATCCCTCCCCATGGCCAAGGAGGTAACTACCGACTGGTGCCGGCCAGCCGTGTGGAAGTGGAACCACGGCAGCTTTCTCTGGGTCAGTTCCCCGATCCATCGCGTCTCGTGGCCTTGCAAATTGTTGTCCCCGCTGAGGGGAGAGAGCAGCAGTGGGCACGCACCCAGCCCCGGCGCTGGTCCCAGCCGTGCAGGCAGGAGGTGGGGAACAGCAGGCAGCAGGCTGGCAGGAGAGCAGCGTGCCGCTCTGCTCGCTGCCCTCCTCCCTGCGCCGGGCTGCTGCTGGGGCACCGAGTGCTGCCGCTGCTCACGCTGCTTCCCGGGAAACCCTCGGGTCCGCGCTTGCTCCGGCACGCTCAGCGCAGCCCCATGGCACCGGGCTGCCCGTCGGGATTTGCAGGAAGGTACCTCCGCTCCCAGGATGACGTGGGCATCCTGTGCGATGGCTGTGCTGGCGGGTCGTGGTGTGCCGGGTTACCTGGAAGGGAGGTGCCGTTCCCATGACCCGAAGCGATACCGGCGCCGCCGGGAGCCCTGGCTGCCGTTGGGAAGGTAACCCTCAGCAGCAGCTGGAAAAGGAGCTTATCACTGTGCTTCCCTCTGCCTGTACGGTCTTGAGTGGGACGGGTTTGTCCTTGCCCTGCAGGTGAAACACAAACGCTTCAACCGTCCCTGGGTGATTAATACACCCTGTGCAGCTGCCTCCGTGTTTCGCAGCCCGGCTGCGGCTGTGATTAACCCTGACGCGGTTCCTTGCGGCAGTGACTCACCCAGCCCGCGCTGCGCTGGCAGCGGCACCTGCCGCCATCTGTGCCAGGCGGGCTCCCCGCCGCCCCGCTCGGACTCCCCGCCGCAGCGATGGGGCTTGCCCGCCAGCCGGCCGTGCTGGTGCTGGGACCAGAGCAAGCTGTTGCGGCACTGCTGGGTATCACAGAGCCGGGCTCCGGTGAGGCGATGCCAGAGGAGAGGTCGCTGCCCTGCCAGACGTGCCCGGGCTTGTGGAGGGTAACCCATGCCGGGCGCCCTCCGATAACCGGGGAACGGGGTTGGAGGTGAAAGCGGCTGCTCCTGGAGGGCAGGGGAGCTGGGGCTCGGCCTGACTCAGCACTTGGCACTGCCGGGGCAGCCTCTGCCGCTCACCCTTTCCCTGGAGAGCAGCCTTTCCCCATCGGAGAGGCGCCCGCCGTCCAGGGAGCCTGACGCTGCCGGAGCCCTGCCTGGTGCCGGCCCCCAGCCTGGTTTTCACCCAGTGCTGTCTGTGATGCTCCGCTCAGGCTTGCTGGCTCCGGGCAGCTCTCTAAAGGGATGGCAAAGCCAGCGCATCCCTGCGGCATAGCCCGATGCGTGCCCTGCACCCGGGGTCTGACCCCTCTTCATCCCCGGGGAGACACGGCAGGAGTGGGGCATGCTTGGGCTCCGGCTCCCAGCCTGGGCCGGGCAAACCCAGGGGGGGGGTGTCGTGGAACCCCGGCAGGGACGAGGACACACCGGCAGCGTGTGCCCAATGGCCGGGAGCTGAGAACAGCGACCAGACACTGTGCCCGAGCATCGCCTGCAGTACCCGGCTGCCCCGAAGCTGTGCCAGCCCGGGGACGAGCCCCGCAGCGTCCGACGGCCGGTGTGCCGAGTCGATGCTAGGTCGATGAACATTAACCCGCAGCAATTTGTGGGCACCTGCTGCCAACTGCCAAATCTTTCAGCTTGGCACCCAACCAGACCCAGCGCTGGGCTGCCCCGGCGCTGTGACTTTGTGCAGAGGGGGCTGCAGGATGTGCCGCGGGGCCGGGGCGGTGCAGGGGGTCCCGCGGGTGACGGCGCACCGAGGGGCACTGGGGCGGCGCAGCCGCCGGCAGTTCTTCTGCCGAGGGTGGTGGCACGTGCCATCCTCATGCCTGGCCCTGACCCGCGCTTTCCTCTCGCTCTCCCCCCAGGCGTTGCCCTGCTCTCCAGCGAGTACCCGGAGCGGATCCTGCCCGTCCTGCTGGCACGGTACGGGTGCCCGGCGCGGGGCATGGAGGACACCACGGCTGCCATCACCAGGATGAAGCTGGGCGAGGTGCTGATGCGTGTCACCCGGGCCCTGGGTGAGTCCCTGTGGGCGCAGCAGTGCTGGTCACTGCCGGCAGCCGCAGCACCACTCGGCCCCTCGCTGCTCTCTGCTGCGCCACCAGGTCCGGGGGGTAAAGCCATCGGGGCCTTCTTGTTGTCTGGAGGTGAGAACCAGCTCCCATGGCCCCACCATGGGGGGTTGGAAGCCGAAGGGCGGCTGGTCCCGGTTGGGCCTGGGCGGGGCGGCGGATCCTGCCGGCAGCCCACCATCCCCGCAGCCAGCAGCGCTGGGCTCGGAGGCTGCCAGGAAGTGCCTGGACACGCAGGGCTGAGGAGTAAAAGCTGGATGAGGCCTTTCCGGCAGCCGCTGTTGGGACACGTCCTAAAACGCCTCGTCTTATTCCCCAGAAGAGGCCAGGCCAGTGAGAGCGGGCGGCCGGAGCTCTCCATAGCTGGGGAAGGTGGTAGCCGGTGTCCCCGCTGCCAGAGCAGCCGGGCGGGGGTCCCCAGTCACCGGCCGGGCGTTTTGTTCCTCGGGTTGGCCGTGGCACAGCCCATCTCCCTGGCTGCCTGGCCTGCCGGAGCTCTCCTCCGGGGCACAGCCACCGCCACGGCATCCCCTGGCCACGGTGGCATCCCTGAGCTCTGCCGGCTGTGGGCGTCCTGCCGGGGCTGGTGCTCCCTGGGCCGGGTTGTGCCGCTCCCCTGCCCGGCTGCCGGGACGGGGACGGGGCATCCTATGGGTCGGCAATCCCACCATCTCCCCGTGGAGCTCCACCGAGCAGTGCGAGCGGCAGCAGAGCCTCTCGGTCTCTGAAGGCCCCTGGGCGATTTCCGTGCGTCCAGCCCTCGCCTTGCCCGGCGCTGCAGCTGCACCGCTCTGGATTTCCCTCGGCAGCTGCCCATGGCACGGCTGGGGCGGCGGGCGCCGCCTGCGTGGCGGCTCTCCCCGCTCCCCGCGGTGCCTCTGCCGCGGGCAGTGACTCCGGCGCGTCCCGGCTCGCCTGTGTATTTATAGAACAAATAGCATGAAGTTGTTTTTGTTGCAAAGCTTCAGGATTCAAGAGCGAGGATTTATCCGGCGCTTCCAGGAATGCTCTGCTCTGTGCAGCAGCACTGCTGCGGTTCGGAGCTCTCCTGCTGCTGCCTGGGGACTGCCGTGCCTCCCTCCTGCCCCATCCCCGTCCCTGTCTCCATCCCGCTGGAGCAGCTTTTTTCCCATCCGGGAGGGGATTTTGCGGCAGGCACCGATCGCCCAGCAAACGGCCGGCATGGGCAGCGTGGCTGGAAGTGCGCGGCAGCCCCGTCCCAAGCGTGCGGCGCCGTTCCTCTGCCTCCAGCAACGTGGGGCCGAGCGCCGTGCGAGGGTTCATGGAGACCTCGCACTGGCCCAGTTGGCTTTCACTGCAAACCCATTAAATCTGCTCTGGGTGTGCCACAGCACCTTCTCCGTCAGGAAGCATGTGCCTTGCTTGCTGCAGGAAGGGAAACGCTCCGTGCTCTTTCTGTGGCCGTCCAGCACAGGGCCGGTGTGCTCTTGGCTTCGGAGGAGATGCATCATGCTCGGATCATCCAGCACCGCTCAGACTGCCATAATACCGACTCCTGGGGTGCAAGCACAGAGCAGGCTGCCTTCCCGAGGAAGGGCGGCCGTCCTTGGCATCACGGCGCTGCCCCGAGCTCTCCCACCCTGTGCTGCGCAGGAGCCGTCCCTGCCCCTCCAAGCACGCGGTCCTTTAGTAACGGGGAGGGCCATGTAGGAAGAGTGAAGCTACGACGGGACGGTCCTACGGAAGGACCCGGCTGCCCGCCGCCTTGCCTGTTCCTGCCCAGCTCTCGGCCGTCGCATGCAGTATTTCCCCTCCTTGCGCACAGCTGGTGCTGCCAGGCTGTCAGCGCGCCGGCGGTGCGGCGGCGGGGGGGCGCCCCCAGCCCCTTCGCGGCAGCGGCCCCGAGCCCCTGCGTGCGGGGTGATGGGGTCCCACCGCTGCCTGCAGGGCCTATTCCTGTCCCCGCGTCCCGGGGCATCCCACTGCCTCCATCGGCTGCAGGACACCAGCTTACGGGGCTCGGGAGAGCCGGGAAACCACCGAGCTGGCGGTCTGGCTAGCCCACCAGACCTTCCTCCTTTCCTCCCTTACCGAGTGCCGCCCCGCACGCCCCTTGGCCGGAGCAGCCCCTGCCCGGTGGGAGCCGTGCCCACGCTGTGGGGCGCACGGCCGCCGGCCCGGGACGCCTCTTGTGCTTGGGTGATTGTGCATGCCGGTCACGGGCTCTGTGCGCCGACCTCTAATTAGGCGGCTCACACATCCGCGGCGCCTGCGGGTGCTAATTGGGGGAGGGTTGTGCGGCTGAATGACGTGAGAATTTGGGCTTCACACTTCGTTTCTGTGTGCTGGATCTGCGGTCACCTCTGAACGGCCCCGCGGGAGCCGGGGGGGGGATGTGGGATGCACCGAACAGTCCCAGACAAAGGTCTTTGCTGTGAGGTGTGTGCTGCCGGGGTTTGCCGGCACCCCGGGGGACTGCGCCACGGCGTCCTTGTCCCTGGCGCCACGGCAGGTCCCCGCGGAGGCTCTGTCTGTGCCTCGCTCAGAGCTGTGCCCAGGGTTGCATTGCATCCAGCTGTCGGGTGGCAAGGGGGGGTTTCGGGGGGGGGTGGTGTGGGGAGGGGGGGGGGGGGTGGCAATCCGGCTGCTCCCGATGGAGCCGGGGCTTTGGCAGGAAGGGGCTGTGGGTTTTTCCTTGCCCGTGACGTGCCGCTCCGCTCTCTTGCAGGGGACATGGTGTTCAAGCACCGGGAGCCGCTGGTCCAGGCCTTCCTGCGGGGCGCACGGGACCCCGACGGCGCGCTGCGGGCCAGCAGCCTCTCCAACCTGGGCGAGCTCTGCCAGCGCCTCGGCTTTCAGCTGGGCTCCATCGTCCAGGAGGTACCGGCTCCATCCCGGCACTTGCTGGCCCCTTCCCCGGGGTCCCTGCCTGGGGAGCGCGGGGGCCATCGCTCGTTAACAAGGGCGGTTCGTTAGCGGATGGCAGGGCTGCTGAGCGCTTGCTGCTGGGGGCACAGCAGCCTGGGCTTTCCATAAGGAACACGAGGGATATTTGCTGACAGCGGAGAGTATAAAAGTCATTGGATCTGAAGCAAACACTCGGGGAATTCTAGCCCCCATTTTTAGGGCTAAAAGCTTTATAAACAGCTAAAGATGTTGCTTGTGCAGCGAAGCGATGGCCCTAGGAAACCCGGCGGACCGCTGCCCACCCATGGCAATCGCACTGCAGGAGGAGACCGGGGGCCCCAGCCAGTACCTGTCAGAGGCACCTCCTCCCGCTTAATGAGACCTCGTTACCCTTCCCGTTATCACGATGCAGCTGATGGCTGGCGGGGGTGCCCGGTCCTCGCCCCGGCTTGCAGGCTCCCGGCGAGACGCGGCTGCTGCCGGAACTGTGGTCCCGGTGGGATGAGCCTGGCTCTCGTGGTGGGGGGGGTCTTCTCCCTGGAGGTTTGGGGGGAGGCTTGCCAGGAGCCGCCGGCATCACGGTCTGGCAGCCCTCAAGCTGGTGGGTCTGTGCCCCTGCGGGAGCCGGAGCTTTGCCCCCCAGTGCCTCCCGGAGCAGGAGGGAGGTCAGGAGACATCAGGGGTGCGGCACTCGGGCTTCTTTCCCCGGTCCCCGCTCGCAGCCGCTCGGCGTTGGTAGGGTACCGGCAGCGTTTGATGAGATGCCAATGCACCACACGCAGCTATTTCGGGAAGACGCTAGCTCTGCTAATTCTCCCGGCTGTCACTGCCGGGGGTTTAATTAGGTTCCTTCGACTCTGCCTGCTTTTTATAAAGCTTTCCAAGGTGTCCACGTGCCACTCAGCCCCTGCGAGAGGGAGGGCTGCTCGGTGCCCGGCGCCCTGCAAAAAGCCAATCCCCCCTGGGTTGGGTGCCCAGCAGGGGAACGTGTGGCTGCCCCAGGCTGGGTGCAGGGGTCCCATCCTCATCCTCCAGCCCCAGGCCACCCAGGGACATCCCCACCACCATGGCCAGCTGCTCTGCTGGGTC